ATGCTGGAACGCGAAAATGGCGGACGGACATTCTTTCTAGAAAATTTAGCATAGCAACACTTAAAGATCTTTGTATGTTGGATTAAGATCAAAATTCGTCCCTAACAGGAAACCAGTTGTTAAGTGAATGCATTAGCCTTCAATCTAAATATATTTTCACAGTCAGATGATAGTTTTACAGCTCAAACCAAACAAATAAAGTAGAATGACGTCGTACCTTTTAGCTCCTGTCTAGGTGGATATAAAACTGCTTATTTCGGTTGATTTCACAATAAATATTCCACAATAATGAGCACATGACACTTTAAAGTGTATTAGCCTATGGTATTAATGGTAGGTAAGACTGAAAACACTTTGAAATCGAAGATTTATCACTTTACACACACACAACACATAGGAGTGTAGCTCAGCTTAAATCGTTCTGAACAGATAACAAAACACTTTTCACTTCAAATTAATGTAATAAAGTTGGCATGAGACATTCCGAAACATTCTACACTCGGTATTTAACAAGTTGATTGAACATAAAGACACTAATATCTTATAAAAACGCGAAAACCTCAAGCGCGAAACGATCTACCTACGCAAAGAGAACCGCCGAAACGAAAAGTGCGCGAAAATGGAAAATTGGCATAAACATCGGAGACAAAGTTAACAGAGGTGAGCAACCGATGTTAACACATTCAGTACTATATTAAAACTGAATAAATACGGTAAAACACTTAGCGATAAAAATTAGAAACAGAGGTGTTATCGCTGGACTGCGTTATCGAAAATCTGCGAGGTAAAAATTTAGATTAAAATACCACCAGCGGTTGTTCTATAGTCTCCTTATCTTTTAACCGCTTTTATTTGCTATAGAGGAATTTGCATGTTTATTCTTTGGTCTCTAGAGAGATTAAACGTTGCATGTGAGCCTAAAAAATTAGTATATCACAGTGTTTTTGTACAGTTAGTTATTAGTTAAGGATAAAATAAAAATAAAAATCCCCATGTTATTCTTATGGAGAATGTTGTAGTTTTCTTGATTAAATTTATATTTTGATAAAACTTAGCAAATTTATTTATTTTATACTGTGCCAAGCTATTAATATTTTACTAAAACACACTTTATTAACCTCCCTATAACAGCAAACCGAGGTACTCGTCAAACCTAATGTTATATTTAAATACCTATTTAAATAGATTTAATTGAAAATTAATTCAGAAAAATGGAAATTCGCTTAGTCAGCAGGCTTGCTGAGGCGGGGGTATTTTTGTATTCGGTTGATGGTTTTATTATTCGCCTGGTAAACGCTGGGTTTCGTTTGAAGAATATTATAAAATAAGGTTCTGTAGTTGGTCTTCCGCTTTAATTTAATAAAATAACATGATGAGATTATATCTGAACAAACTTTATTTGCAATGAGAGGCATTTTTATCTACATTTTTTTTTAAGTACAAACTGTACTTCTGAAGTACTGGTTATTCATCCATATTACAGTATGAGTATGGCAAGCTTTTCCCCGAGTTGTTGAAACAAGATCGTTTCACTTCTCCCGCTCTCTTGTCAACACTACAAGGAGCGTCTGGTTGTAGAAGAGCCGCGCATGCGCACTGCGCACTATCAGGAACGTCTATTTGTAGAAGTGCCTAGTTTGCTCACGGCCGCCTTTAACTACAGGCCGCGGCCTGGTAGAATTGGCAACATCGCAAGTGGTGTTGTTCAGTGACAGACGTCCCATAAGATACACTGAGCTAAAATTATAACTGGAGGTAGCACTGCCATGGCAGAAGTCTGTCAAAAGCGTGTCGCTGATTTTGTTAGGTTGGTATAGCAGTAAGTTTTCTTATCATAGCAATAACATGGCTTCTTATAACTAGGTTGGTATAGCAGTGAGTATTTTTGTCATACTTGAATACTTTTAATACTTTAATAATTTTCTTTGAAATGGCGACCATACAAAGTAGGTATTTTAAGCCAAGTATAATAATAGTTATAGCAATAATATGGCTTCTTATGACACCAGACTCACGCAAACATGGCGGCTGGCGACACGCATCTTTGACATTCAGTGCTACCTCCAGTTAGAATTATAGCTCAGTGATAAGATAACATGGCAGACAAGTGACATTAGCTCATTAATTCGCACTTTATTGGTTTAAATTTAAATTTATGAACATAAATTTAAATATTGAAAATAAAACATACAGAATTGAAAACCGAAACAATATGAATTAAAATCTATATCTGTACATTTTTAAGCAGAGTCAATATTGTCATAATCCAGTAACAAATCTTTCGTAAATACACAAATACCATTAACTGCTACCAAACAAAACAGCTGTTAACAGCACCACTTGTGACGTTGCCAGTTCGAGTTCGAAGGCCGCCCATGTAGCACAGATGGTTGGGCCAACGTTGGTAAATTGTGGAGCCACACAGTTGGCCAACGGTAGAAATGTCACCTCTTTAAACTGTTTTCCAGCCAACCATTGTCCAACAATGGCCCAACCATCCAAAAATACTGATGGCCAACTAACCATAACACAACTGATATCCAACCAACCGTTTTATTTCACACAAAATAATAAAGATTTAGTACGAAAAGCATAATTATTAGTTGAGTAAATTGATTAAATAGTTCATAAAAACAAATTTTGAAAAAAAGCTAGAACAAAATTTTTAGGCCCAGACGGGTCTCGAACCCGGGTCCTTCGACTTATGAGCCTCTTACCTTACCACTGAACTATCTGTGATTGTTGAAATAGAGAGTTTTCAAGTGGTGAAAGAGTAGCCGACAGTTGCAATAGTCGCAATACCGGTACTTCAAACATTTTTGATACTACACAGTATAATATGATTCTGTTAATCTGTTAAGGCATCATAAGTAGTTATTATTTTTTTTTTTTTTTTTGAGTTAGGATACTGGTATTTGAATATAGATTAATTAATTACCGTTAGATTATTAATGCTATTATAATTGACTGTTATATGATTAATTACTCTTTCCCCTTAAATTGTTGCAAATAAGTTAAAGAATATTAATTTTAAAAATATTTGCATTATTATAATTATTAAAATTCATTGTTGTAGCCCCGGAACTGTAATATATAAAATATCTGGTTTTACAATACCTTTATCAGTTCCAAAAACTTTTGGAAACTTTTGGAACTGATAAAGGTATTGTAAAACCAGATATTTTATTATAATTATGTTGTGAAAGCTAGACCCAGAGAATGAAAGTCGTGTAAACTCAACTATGGACCATCGTTGGTCCAACAAAAGTATCTTTTGTTGGTCCAACGGAGTGAAAAACGGTTGGACAACGGTTGGCTTGATGTATGATACCCAGCAATTCATATTAATGCATTTCATTAACAATGAACCAATGTTGGTCCACAGTTGTAAATATTGGTTGGCCCAACTACGAGATATACAGTTGGACAACGGTTGGTTGGTTGTGGAAGCTCCAACCAACCATCAACCAACTGTCCCACAGTTGGCCAACGTTGGCCCAACCATCTGTGCTACATGGGCGCGGCCTGGAGTTAAAGGCGGCCGTGAACGTTGTCAATTCTACCAGGCCGCGGCCTTTAGTTAAAAGGTATGGCTTCCGCAGAGGAAGATCAACTACATCGGCTGTCATGGAGATTGTTGATTATTCTTTGGATGCATTTGAGAACAAAGAATCAGTTGCTGTGTCATTGCTAGATCTGAGCAAAGCATTCGATTGTGTACCTTTCAATACCTTACTAGACAAACTAAAATTTTATGGAGTTGAGGAGAAATCACTTAAAGTAGTTCGGTCTTACTTGACAGGTAGGAAACAATATGTCTGTGTTCAGGGTACTAACTCCAATGTTGTGGACATCAAATTGGGCGTGCCCCAAGGATCTGTTCTTGGACCTTTCTTTTTTATAATTGCCATTAATGATCTTCCAAAGAATCTTAAATCTAGGTCAGTAATATATGCTGATGACACATCAATTTTTGCTAAAAATTCAGACAAAATAGAACTCTTCAGTGAAATCAGTGAAGCCCAGGGAGATGCTCTAAACTGGTTCTTCACAAATAAACTTCTCTGTAACCAAAGTAAAACCCAAAACATTATTCTTAGCACATCCTTAAATCTGGACCTACAAACAGTAAAGCTATTAGGTATTCATATTGATTCCAAGCTGTCTTGGCATGCTCACATAAACAACCTTTGTAAAAAGATTTCACGGGTCAGCTATCTTTTTTGGAAGCTGAGGGATTCTGTGTCAGATGAATACCTCAGAATGACTTACTTTGGTTTATTTCAATCTCATTTATCTTATGGACTGGTTCTCTGGGGACATGCAACGGCCGTATCAGATGTGCTTCTGATTCAGAAAAAAGTTCTTAGAATCATGTGCAGAGCTAATAGATTGGACCACTGTCGACCTTTATTCAGACAAATGAAAATTTTAACAGTAACTAACTTATACATTCTACATATTCTAATTTACACTAAAACTAATCTTATCACCTTTTCCTCACCAGGCAAGATATACACCTACATGAAACCCGAAACAGGACAAAACTCAATATTCCACAGCACAGATTGGCAAAATTCGGCAAATCACACAAGGCAAATTGTATCAAATTTTTCAACAAATTACATGAATCGGCAAGGACCACCACACCAAAAATCTTCAAAAATAAGGTAACTGCTTGGCTCTTAGACAATCCATTTTATAATATTTATGAATTTTTAAATACATGTGTAGAAATTAGTTTCTAGCTGTAGGTAGATTTTTATGACAACCTGTTTTAATTTAATGTAACTCTGACAATGCCTATCTCATGTATATGATCAATGGCAAATAAACCATTTCATTTCAAACCATTTCATTTCATTTCATTTCATTTCATTTCAAAAGTGGCCGTGGTAAATTGCTATAATCATTGACTGCTATAATGCTATTGCTAGGTCCTCTCTTCTCTCGCTCTGTCTGTGTCCGTTCCCTTTCACTTTCAGTGGTAAATTTAGTAGCGTTATCTTTAGCCGTCTGCTTTTGCTAATGCAATTCTCCAATGGACGGACGGTGATTGTTTATTTAATGACTGATATTTTGTTTCAAGACTGTTAACTTAATAACGTTTGGAAAATAATTGATTTGTTATTCAAAAGCTTTTATTGTACAAACTATTCAAACCCCTGGGAAATGATATTATCTGCAACTACAAGAGTGTAAAAATATTGCAGGTAGGCCTCTAGGTTGGTAGTTGTAGCTGTAAGCCGAAGTTGCATTCCATAAACCGGTTAGCAAATTTAAAACTCCCATCTAACTTACTACATTATATTTATCCATATGCTTTCAAACTAGGCTAGTTAACTTTTGGTAGGACCTATCCATTGCCATTCATTTACCAAATGTTATTGGCAAAACTTAAGCTTAGGCTACCTTTTCTTCAATAAACTTAGCCTTGGCCGAGCTGGGTAATGTGTTTAGGCTTACAATTTGTTTTTTATCTCAATTGTTTTTATTCCAGTTTAAGACCTTGATTAACCAAATAAAACGGTTTAATCATAAACATTACCTTAACTCCTCCCATAACTTAGGCTAGGCCTAGTTGCAGGGTTGGCTAGAGGGAGGGGAAGGGGGTGCCAGAGGTCCTGGGTTCTGAAGGGGGCCTGGCCAGGTAAGAAAAATTCTTTTCTGTACATGTAATCTGACAGAGTCAGAAAATTTTTACATTGTTTTAAAATTCACTCAAGTATTTTTGGCTGGAATAAAACAACTTTGAGAACGATAATTAATCAAACTATCATGCATTTTGGATATATGTATTATTAAGGTGTTACAATACGGCACGGAGGCGGCTGTACATTAAATCAGGAAAATATGGGGCACGGGGTTGCTCAGCCCAGGGACCAGTGACGGCTCGGGAGGTTAGGCTTAAGTTAAAACCTAACAAGTGTCTTCGCAGTAATAGTCATGCGGCGTAGAGGCTATCTTGATGGGTAGGCCTAGAGCAAATTATGTCACACGGAGCAGTATAAAAAGTATCAATGGGTTTGGATGGTCGGATAACGCACAAGTTTAAATGTTAGGTCCAACTAAAAAGATTAAATGGTTAATTAGGTCTCTCTTATAAAAATTATTTACCTACTGTATTTTATGAACTAAATAAGACAAGCATGCATGGACTGTATAAATTAGGACATTTAACCCAAGTCTCTGTGCCAAATAACAAGTCTACATGCACACTGAACATTCTATGGTATATTCTATGGTCTTCATTCTAGTTTCACCTCGGTCAGTACAAGTTATTTTTTAATCTACTAAACCCACTAAGTTCCATAGGTACATTTTTAAGATTGCAATTTTGTTATTTAGTAATCGTATGTCTTTCTCCTAGTCGCGCAATATCATAGCCTCCTCCAGTACAAGGCCGTACGGTAGCGTTTGTTTGTGGCAACTTCACAACAGCATGCCTATTGCCATTAACAATAATAACAAGAAACTTGTAAAGATTTAAACATTGTGCATACGCTCCATTAAATTAGTGCAACCAAACAGGTGTTAAACAGTATGCCGGGTCTGCGGTGTTGCCACTTTTGTCTCGCAGCAATCTTTTATTAGTGCAATTTTTATCATTCTTAAATTTAAGTTATGGCGATATAGAATCAAGCGGCACAGGTTACATTCAACAATATAATGTAGGTAATAATGGAGTTGTTATAATCCCAGAAAATTATTTTGTTGTATATAATTATTATACTAGCTGTACCTGCGGGCTTTGTCCCGTTTAACTTCATAAGTATTCGCATGGCTCGTCCTGGTCACGTCCTGGTCGAAGTTCGTTCGCTACGCTCACTCACCTTCAGGTTGGAGCAGCTCGTTTGCTACCCTAACTCGCCTCCAGGTTGAAGTTTGTTCACTACGCTCGCTCACCTTTTGGTTGCAAATTACCGGTAGCTGTTGTCATAAATTTAAAAAAAAAATTACACCCTGTTGGTAATCCTCGTAACTATGCTATTGAACATCATAGAACAGAACCAACTTGTTTAATTGAAACAGCTGTTAAGATTCATTAATTCCTTTTAAATATTAAAAATCATAAGGTTAACATGGAAAACTTCAGAGCCACTGGGGCGGAGCCCGTAAGCCCGATCATAATAAAACTACTTAGTTTTCCTATTTAATGCCCAAAGAATCGGTGTACTGAATTTCAGCCTCCTAGGTAAATGAGAAGTGGGAGAATTAGTGATGAGTGAGTGAGGGCTTTGCCTTTTATATATTTAGATAACCATAGAAGTAATATAAATAAAAAATGTATCCTTATATATGTAGGTAATTTAACTTTTAAACTTGGTTTTTGAGTACCGGTAGTTTAGTGATTGAAAAAGTAATAGGCCTAAGAAACTGGTTACAAAAAAGGTGCTTTTGATCAGCTGTAGTTTTTTTTTACTGTAAACAATTTTTACTACATACTGCCTCTAGAAATTTCAATTCTTAATATGATCGCAATCAGCACATTTTAACCTTTTAAAAGTAAACAATTTAATTGTTTGGCTTTCAAAATTTGGAGTTTTAAAAATTTTTGTTTACATATCCAAGGAATTTATGTTTTAAGATTTTGTTTGTTCTGGTATCATTTATCTACTAGCCTAAAATGAATTCAAATAACACAACAAATTTTGGTGAATCTAAGAAAGAAGCACAAAATACATCAAATTCAGCAGAAGAAAAACCCTCTCGTAAATGCACGGAACAAATAACTGCAAAACTGAAAGCCTCAAATGAATATTATGAATCACCAAGTGCATCTAGTTCAAAACCTGTTTCTAGGGAAGAAATATTAGCTGCTGCAAGTGAAATGGAAAATATGGCTCTAGCACATAAAATTGCAGTTGATAGTACTTTTGAGTTTGAAGAAAAGGAACCTCTGGAAAACAAGTTACACAAACAGGTGAAAGAGGCAGTGCATAAAGTATTCTGGGACAATCTCAGAAAAGAGTTGGCAGAAAATCCACCGAACCACACTCAAGCGTTGGCTTTGCTGATGGAAATAAGAGAAATCTTGCTTTCATTGTTACTTCCACACAACAAAGGACTGAAAAAACAAATCCAAGAAGTGCTGGACACAGAGCTGATACAACAGCAAATTGCAAACGGCACTTTGGAATTTCAATACTACGCTAACTTTGTTCTAACAATAATGTCTAAGATGTGTGCTCCTTCTAGGGATGCAGACGTGAACAAGATCAAACAAGAATCTGATACTGTTGCCATATTCAAAGGTGTAATGGAGACGCTGCAACTTATGAAGCTAGATATGGCTAATTTCACCATCAAAATTTCTCGACCAGTGATTGCAGCTGGTAGTGTGGAATACGAAAAAGGGTTGTTCAAAGAGTTTTTGAGGGTGAAACCTGACGGATTAGAGGCGACAAAGGCTTGGCTGCTAAGAAATACACCACGTGATACTTCCCTGACATCGAAGAATGAATGCAGAGAAGTTTTAGCTCAGGCCTATTTAGAATTGCTTACATGGGATGATAACTGTACTTTTCCAGAGACTTTGTTATTGGACAAAAATCGTCTTTTGGACCTGCGCAGTGAGACGCTACGAGTTATGATTGCTGCAACGGTGTTGCTTCTAGTGACCAACTATGCTCCTCAACTCAAGACAAATTCTGGTTTTAGTTTGTCTTTGAAGAATCATCTACTTCTTCTGCTACAGGATGTGCGTTGTAATAAAGATTTGGAATCTGTTTTACCAAACATAAGTGTTCAAGTTATTGAAGAGTTCAATGCTTTACCTCAATGTTTGAACGCTGAACTTGTGAAAATTATTGAATCTCAAGTCATACAAGTGTCTTCCTCGGATCATAAGATCAGGCAAATCGTCTTGTCCAGAATTAAAGAATTTCTTCATGAGGCGATAACTTCAGTCGAGCCATCAAAAGCTGTTCCTGCAGTTTTGGCAGGGTTTACGGAGGAGATATCAACGTTGGGTGCTAAATTTCATAGTATTGTGTCTTACAATCGTAAAGTCTTTGGAGAGTATTATATGGACATTCTTGAACCACTCGAATGATAAGTTGTGTAAAAAAATACTGTAGCTAAGTTATATTAAGATATGCCTTCTTTAATCTGTGGTTTTCTCTGTAATCTCATTGAATATACCTAATCTAAAAAAATGTGTGTTTCCTTTTAAATTATGAGTACGGTATGCTGTATTTTGCATGTCTGTGTTTGAACAAGGTAAGGTAACCTCAACACATTCTATACTAGGCCTAGGCCTAATGTTTTAAAGTGTGTAGGCCTACTAAAAATTTCATGAAAGATAATTTTATTGGGACCTAGTTATAGCACTTATCGATAAATAGTTGTTGGTATTGCTTCAATGGCACTAATGTGCATAATCGTGTTGCGGCAGAAAATAACAAGAGGAAAAACTCTATCTCATAATTTCATCGTCAGCGTACTAATTGTTGAAAAATATAGAAGGAGTAATTAACTAACTGTTGAGAATGTTAGACCGATAAATGTGTCCACCCGTTACAGCCTTCTTATTATAGGCAATGGAATCCAAAAATGGTTTAGTTCAACAAAAGTAAAGTGCAATACCTAACATAATGTTGAAGACATTTCAATTAGCCTACAGATTCACCACTCCAAAAACTGGTTCAATAAAAGTCAGAAGTTAAATTAGTTCTAAAAGTTTTGCCTATATTTTGTCATCACAGTCAATGTTTTTAATTCATCCTTGGATGGTTAAAAAACCTGTTTTAATTACAATTATGTTCAATAATAGGCTACCACAGTCTACCACTTTTACAATCTTAACAGTTTTAAACTTGCAATGAACTTTTGCTTCTAATAAGGTTTGGGACTTTGGGTCTATATTACACAGCTGTCCTAAAATAACCATTTATTTTAGATTCAAGATGATGTGGCAAGAAGCGAGGAAACAAGAGAAGAAAATACGAGGGATGCTCGTAGATTATAAGCGACGAGCTGAAAGGAGAAAAGACTACTACGAGAAAATAGTAAGTGAATTGCTAGTAAAATATGTATTGATTCTACATTCTATTATGTTAAAATCAGAAAATCTATTTACTTTAGTTTAAAATGTTTGGTAGCCTAAACCAACCAGTAAGGATGGTATACGGAATGGAAAAGTAAAAATCTTTCTTAGTTTAGTGTTTTTCCAAGTGAAATTAGATTTTAGCAATGCATCTGCTGTATCTCCTCTAACTCACTGTACAACTCTTTGCATCCCTGTTTCCACTTTTAGATGCGAACTATAAAGTTTCTATGTTTTTCAGAAAGCAGATCCCACCCAGTTCATACAACTACATGGTCGTCCGTGCAAGATTCATTTGGATCCCGCGGTGGCGATTGCGGGGGACAGTCCAGCAAATATGTAAGTTTCTTCTTGACATTTGAGCCAACAATGTACTATATCTGCCTGTTTATGTATAATTTTGTTAGTACAGTAACACACCTTGATATTGTATGGTCAATTTTAGAACACTTTGTTTCAAATTTATCGTCAGTGGTAGTATGTTTAAAAGTTGTTAAAATTATTAGGCCTATACATCATTAATTAGTAGGCCTAAATCAAAAGTTTCACAATTTTTCTAGAACTGGGATCTAATCTATCTTTGAGTGGTCTTATTAGTTTTCAAGGTCCCTCCCCACCTAAAATGGATTCAGATATGAGATTTCAAATATAGGCCTACTTGTATGGTTTACTTATTAGTTAAATGGTTCGCTCTCAATATCCCATTAAACAACACAAACTTTCAATCATATCCAATAAACCTTTTTATTTTAAGCCTGAGCGTATTTTATTGCAATTTACTAGTCCAGTAAACACCCTTTTAACATTACCCTGTCAAACAAAAACCAGGGTTAATCAATACCAATATAAAATCTAGAAATCAATCAGAAAGTTAACTGGGCAATGGGAATTTTCCGCAAAGGCGCGGATAATTACCCAGGCCTGGCTAACAGAATGTAAAGGAGCAGACGATAAACAATATTTCATACATTTAAAAAAACATTCAGAAAACAACTGTGTCGATTACTTTAGAAATAGATTTTGTGTATACAGTTGTAGATATTTAAGATAAAAGTAATTTTTAAAGGGCAAAGTGACTGCTGCAGATCTTTTTTAACCAAAATAGCCTTTAATTTCAAACCATTGGTCAGCTGATAAAAGGATATCTGGAATGGCCTCGCCCCTTTATTTTGGTTAGTCTGGGTAAGTGCCTAATACCCTTCACCAGAGTAGACAATAGACAATAGACAATGTTCTTTATTTACATATTCGTAGAGAGAATAGTACTTGCGTCAAGTAGAGTGTGTCAAGAGTAATTATTTATACCTAATGATTGGGTGAATATGCATATTCCCACTTGGGCGTACATTTTTTGTGCAAATATCAGACTGTAACAACAAAACGTTATTTACATCTGTTGTTAACTTTTTTTTAATTTTTCAGGATGTCTTGGCAAGGCAACCATGATATACTGATAGACAGATTTGATGTAAGAGCTCATTTGGATTTCATCCCAGAAAACACATCTAAAAAGGACGAAGATGATGAGGTATCTCAAGAAGAAAGATACATAAACTACGAACGTTACCGCATTCTTGCGCAGAATGATTTTTTAGGAGGTAATTTTAATTTTGTGCCTTTTTCTAGCAGCATAAATAATAATATGCTTTTTAAGTCCTTTTTTTAAGAGTTTGGCGGCGTCTTTTAACACTGCATTTGCCCGTCCACATAGACTAACCTCCCGTGCGTTTAATCAACAGGTGTAGGTAGTTATTCTCTAAGAAGTGAATTTATAGCTAGCCATTCGTAAGATTTAGATTTGAAATTAAACTAGAGAACCGATGATAAACTAGCTATAAGTCAAATTGTGTGGGTTTAACTTTACACAATAATTTTTCAGTGAGTGAAGATAAATTTCTTCAACAATTAGCTCTTGAGGAACAATTTGGACCAGTAGAAAAATCTGAACCTCCACCCATAGAAGGAAAGAAAAAGGTGATGTATAAGAAACATTTATTTGTTAAAATTAAAATTAATTAAATATATATTGCAATTTTAGAGTTTATTTGAGGTTGTCTATAAATTAAAATCTCCATCAAGCTCCTGTCACGACAAAGTTTAGAAAGTTTTACCTGCAGATCGATTTTTGACAACTGTTGGTTTTTGATAAAAGATTGTTGAACCGATTTTAGACTCTTCAAAGACCACTTAGGCCTACCTACCCTAGTAGTCTTAGAATCAAACTTGCTCTATTCAATAATGTAACTTGATTGTCTTGTTTAGGTCCCAGGAGCGGCTATTGGTTACAATTACAATGAGGGATCTTCAGCCAATATGGGGGGTTCTGTCAGTGGTATAGGGGGGGCCGGGGAGCCCCCTGCAGCTGACAAAGACAGCAGTGACGACGACGACAATGACGAAGAGGAAGATGAAGACAGCGATATTGACTTTGGTACGTTTGATTTTGTATTGTACCGCAATAGCATAGATAAAACATACTCCCTTAGTAGATTTGTCATCCTTATGGAACAGCTGAAGCCAATTTTATTGTTAGTTCTGTACATCACAATGTAGAGGTTGTGTTTAGTTTACAATTTGTTTCTTGTTAATTGGTTGTTAGTCATTTAAAGCCTCATTTAACCAAATAAAACGATCTAATCATAAACAATAACTGGTCTCCTAAAACCAAATAGTAACACACAAATCATAAAAATAACCTTAAAATAATAGAAACAACATTTCGTCTACACTAGCGATCAGTGTTGACGTACATGAACTAGAGATGACAAACAAGCTTCAAAATATATACCAATACCACACTAATAAAAAACCATTTGCACACTTAGTAAATTCATCATTTATATCTGGCATATTTCCAGATAAATTAAAAATTTCTAAAGTAAAACCTCTTTATAATTCAAAATACTACGATAAACTTGTATCTCTAGTTACTGAGACATTCTGTGATGTCATTGTAAATTTAATGGGATGAGAATTCTACTTGTGTTGCTTAGTCTATGGTACTTGGTTGTGGAAAATTAATCTGTTTGCATAGCTTGGAATTTGTAATGTTTATAGTGATGCTAATTAACCACAATTTTTATTTGCATTAAGTAGACCTATTCTTCAGGATATTTTTATTTAAATTTCTTTAGTTTCTAGAATAATTCGTAATATTTTACTTTATTAAGTGTAGAATTTGTGATGTGATGTGGTTTAGCTTCAGTCATGTGCTGGGATCTTTCCAGGGGTCTGAAGTCGGTCTAAGATTTTAGGAAAAGGGGAACGTGACTCGGTATGGTTGTCCCCCAGGGACCGTACATGTTCTGGTAAAAGTTATTAACCAGTTTATCATCGTTACCATCTGGGGATTGATCAGATTTCTCTAGCAGGAAGAGATACAGCTTGGTTTTCTCTAGCTGGAGAGGGTAATGCATGTATATATTGAATAAAGATATTTACATATTTTATCCATGTTCACAGATCTGTGTGTTGACGTAAACAAGATCAGTTCGGCCCAGGCACACGAGATGAATGCTGCTGCACTCGCATACGGGATGTGCAGCAACGACTTCTTCAGTTTCCTCACACGCGACGTAGAAGAGGCGGAAACTCTGAAACTAGCACGGGAACGAGAGGAGGAGAAGGCGATGTTCTCGGTAGGGCCGCAGGATTAAAATGTGTGAGAGTGGTAGAAATGTAATCAATTCAATGTTGACCCTAAATTGTCGCTTTTAGGATTTTTAAATATTAACTCTTTCTCCGTTTCTTTTTTGATTGTTTATCAATTCACAAAATTTAATATGTGTTGTTTGGTTTTGAATAAATAATTTTTTCAAGGTTGTTTTCATTGGATGAGTATGTGTTTGTAAAAGTTACAAGGGGTAGGAAATGTTAGGGATTTTTAATAGAGGCGTAGAGTTTAGCTAACTTACCTGAGAAAATTAGAGTCCAGGGTTACACGATAAAAGAGTGATAAAAGTTATACTGTAAGAAGATGTAATGTGACTAGTTGTTGAGGTTTTTGAAAATGCTAGACTTTAGTTATTTTATGGGCAAAAGTCCAAAAGAACACAGATACAAACAAATTTTCCACAATAACACTTATATTTTGACTTTATTACAAAAGTTAGCTAAGCTCCATACCTTGTTCAATGTTCTAAAATGGGTTTGTTAAAAATCTAGTATAGGATTCCTGTCATGGTATTGGAGTTCTGTAGAGTGTTCAGTACAGTAATTAAATGGTTTTGTTGGGTGTATTAGAAAAGATTTTATAACTTACCGAAGTTACTGTCACTCTTATTGTGATTGTCAAGATAGCTGTGATGCTGTAATTTATTTTGAAATTTCCCCTAAAGAAAACTTTTTAGATATTATTTTTCATACAGTTGCTAAAAATGTGTTTGCATCGTATTAATTAATTGATGGTATTGGAAATAACCGAGCTTGTTAGGATGGTTATATGTTATGTCTTACTATTAAAATGGTGTTGTTTGAAAAGTTTTTCCTATTTAAATTTTTTTCTTTTACATTGTTGATGAAAGAAGTTCTGAATCATGGCCTTATCTTGCTCTATTGTCCTCTAAATGGAAATCATAACCAATCAAAAGACCAAATAACAAAAATATTTAAACTATGATACTACCCTAAAATATCGATAAGTTGAATTTTTGAAACCAAATACTGAAAAATAAGAGTGTTTAAATTCTTATAGTAGGGTTAACTCCTTAATGACACCACATTAAGCCAAGGTAAAATCCAGGTTAACGGAATCTATAGGAAAAAATTCAAATAAATTAGAAAATTAGTTGGGCAATGGAAACTATCCTCCATGGCATGGGTAGTTTGTTCGACTTGTATGGAGCAGACGACAACATAGATGTCATACTGTGATAGAGATGAACAGCTGTTTAATTATTTTCAGAAATATATTTTGTGTATAGAGTTATGGTATTATGATAACAGTTAGTAATTGAAAATTGAAATATGTAAAAACTACCAGTACTGTTGTAGATCTCTTTCAGTTGAATTAACTTACATTCTTACATACTTACATTCTAACCATTGATTTACATTGATAAAAGTTATTTGAAACCGGTATGCGCATATATTTCGGTTACTTGGGTTTTTAACTGAGGCAATGATGGTGAAATAAAAACATCACTATTTCAGGGAAGAAAATCTCGACGAGAAAGAAGAGCTTTTAGGGAGAAGAAACTTGTTGGAAGAAAACTAAGTCCTCCAAGGTATGAAAACAGTAGGCTTAGTTTTGTTAAAAAAAATAGATTGTTAACAAACTGTAAGTTTGAGTCGTTATATTTCAAGCAAATATTTTAATCTACAGCAGAGGCTTTTTAAGGATGATAAAATCCTCTTCATCTTGGGGTTGTGAAGAGTAATCAAATACATTTTTTAACACGAACACGAAAATATGTAACAAAAATTTGGCCATATTTTAATACTGATTGTGGTTGCTCAGTGTAACCGGCAGAAGATGAGTCAACCCACTGGTTACTTATCGGCCCACATCAATAACTGTATCTAACCATTTTATTGGATGAGCAAATTCAATTTTACTCTATGTTTTAAACAGCTCCCTATTAAATGTCCTATTAACAATACGATACAATGATATTTTACTACCACTGTACGGAAATGATCATATTGCCATACCTGTAAACATAAGGCAAAATAGCTCATTGCTGCTCTAGATTGGGAATGGATCATTCCCGCTCGCTGATGAGCTGATCTCACAGAGTCATTCCTACACCTATAACAGCCGCAGATCCGGTACGTTAGTTAACAACCGCAAATAACATAACCTTAAAAAAGCAAACATAACCAAAATGACATTTTATATACATCTAAAAAGTTAATCTGTTTGCTACTATAAGTTGATTGTGGTGGTAGGAAATATCTTGTGTGTATTCCGAGCACAAACAGTCACTGCCGCTCTCGAAATGCATGGCCTCACTCAGCTAAAGCTTTGTGCGGCCATCTACAATTCTCGAGCGTACTTTACATGCCTTGTACACAAATAGCTGTTCTGGTGTGGCAACATGTCAACACAACTCCTTGGCCATCACTATACCTGAAGACATGTTTCTTCTTTCCTCTTGCTTGAAATGCTATCAGTATAGTAACAGTAACAAATTTAAATTATTGTGTACACTATAGAGTGTTTCTGTTTCTCAAGTCAAGGCAGAGTCTTCCAGTCAAAGCCTGTTGCTAAAACAATACAAAGCTTGCTCTAATTCCACATTTCTGTTCCAGCTATGCAGCTTCCAAGGCAGCTCCAATCGTTGATCTGATCCGTAATGTGCCCAAGGCCAAGTCTAGGAGTCGGTCACGCTCTGTTTCGCCTCCGAACGCAGGGATGATTCAATACATCACAAGCTTTGGAGGGGACGAAGTACCTTTGGAACCACCACCTCCTCAAGCCATAAAAACTAGGTATCTCTAAACACGTCCGTTTATTCTGACTAAATATATTTTGAATCAATGGCCATAAAAAGATAGGTATATGTCTAAGTTTGACTTACCGTTGAAATCTAATACAATTCTGACCCAAACTGTATGGTTAAAATAGGATTGGGTATTAATGAAATATTTTTTTTTTACACTATTAAATCTAGTTTTTTCGGAATCTTTGTTATTGATTATGCTAGATCACTGAGTGGCTTGTAAAAACCCTTTGCCCAATGCTGCATCATTGAATGTAGCAACTTACGATAACTTGCTTCTTTGCAGTGTCCACGCCAGTAAGGAAGATGATAAAACGTACAAACGAACTGTAAGGTACAGATCATCAAGATCTCCTGACTCTGCTAGGAAAAGGTAATGCAATGTTATTTTACTAGCTTTTACTCCGATTACATATAGCTACAGGTTGAATCGCCACCAGGGTGCAATTGGCTTCTATACAACTAAAAACAGGTTTTACCTTTTGTCAACACCTTAATCAGTTGTAAGATGCGTTACGGCCGTTAAGAAGATCTTCAGCTGAAGCAGTGTCATCACAGTAGAAACTCGTAACATGGATCCTTTTTACGATTAAAAAAATACAAAAATAAAATTAATAAACCGTTTGTCACATAGATTTTAATTCAATACAACCCTGATTGTGCCAATACCTGTCAGATTGATTCAACTACGTACTTGATTCAAGCGGAATATTACCTTACAGTATAAATTTGATTGTTTCTGGTTCCATGATTGGTGCGATTCGCCTTCGCCGTTTCCGCCCTTAGTTTATGTGGTTGCATTTTGTATTTAATAATTGTTATAATAGTTTGCTTAATCGGAAATATTCGCTTATCCGAAATGGGTGCGATCTCAATTATTTCGCATTAGTGGGGCTCCACTGTAGAATGTTATAATTTGTGGTATTTTATATCAATTTTACTAGTAAGCAAAGAGTTTGTAGGTAAGAATACATTTTCATCCATTCAAATCCTCTACTTCAGTAGAAAAAAAGAAGATATTATAACGGTAATGAGAAAACCTATACAGTAATTTCATAGCCAATGTTTTGTTTCTAAACTATTCACTTTGCCAACTACAAAACTTGTGATTTAGGCTATTCAGTTATTCACTATTGCTAATCTTATGTATTGTGTCCTGTAGGTCGTCAGACAGAACATACGGGTCAAGGCGAAGGTCGAGGTCACACAGTCCGTCCTGGAGGTCAAGGTCGCCGGTGTCACGAACTGTCCGTTACCACTCTAGGTCTCCTGTCCGATCTCCGTCTAGGTCTGACCACAACCATAGGAACACAAGGTTCGTCTCTACTGCGATTAATACTTGTTGTATTGTCCATTGCATTATTACTGCTCGATTACCAAGCTTTGCTCGGGGTATCTCTTCACTTTTGACTAGCAATCTTAAACAGTAGCGCCAAAATAATAGGGGAGCCATCAGTAAAAGCTAAAAACACAGCGGTATTTTCATTAATTAGATTCACAATAACGTTTTTTTCACAATAACAAAATTTGCCGGATTAGCAAGCGTTTACTGTATTAATTTTTGGAATATTACAGTAAAATAAGATAACTTTATACTTTGATTAATGTACAAATATTGTTTTTAGTTACAGAAGGAGACGTAGTGCTTCCAAGTCTAAAAGTTCGTCACCCGTGCAAAGGTAAACTAAAAAAAATTAGTTATCTTAGAAATAAAAAAAAAACACGCTCCCGGAATTTGCCTGCAACAGGGAGAGGTGGAGTGAACTTTACACGTAAGCAGAAAACTTTACTTAATCACTTTAGAACTGACGTGGACAGATAATAACTAACTACTGTTGGTTTAAACTTAAAGAGTTTTAGTCCAATTTAACAGCTAAGTGTATAGAAATACGCTGTTCAACTTGCTTGCTGTATTTTTAATAATTTTGATTCCTTGAGAAAAATAGCTGTCCATGTTTTCGCTGTTGCACAACTTGCTATTAGGTTGTTAGATTGTGTGAATTATTTAGGATATCTTTGGAAGTTGATGGGATGAGTGAATTGATTGTGTGTTGAAACTCAAATTGAACCTTGGAATTTGCTACTTTTTAGTTATCCTTATTGTGCCTCCAGTAAAAACTTAAAATTTTTATTATTTCTATGTTTGTGAGAGGAGGGGAAAACTTATTAAACTGCAGGGGGCATGAATAAACTGCGGAGTAATTGATTTCTCTTGCTGTATATTTATTTTCCTGACAGCCTTGTATTTTCATCAGCCTGTACAAGAAAACAAACTCATACAAAACTTTGTCTTGTGTTGACAGGATAGTGAAGAAGTTGGATTCACCACAACCTATTAGAAGTGTAGAAGTCCCTGCTCCCCCTGTGATTACCAGGTGAGTGTTGGTAATACTTAATAAAAATTACCTCGCAAAATTTATGATTTTTTTACATTGAAATAATGTAGCTAATTAAACTAGTTTCATCCAAACTTAAGAAGAAAAGTAAAAAGTAAGTCCATATACAGGGTGTCCTATAAAGGGGTTGCTATTTTTGAATTACCATACCAGACGCATCGAACACGCTACAAACTTGAAACTCCACAACTTACAACAAACACATGCCCTAAAAAAAAAAAAAAACGCAAGTTGCGCTTCTCAACCATTGAGAACTAAATGGCAGAACATGAATATAGTGTCAAGGAATTTGTAATTATTTGTAATTTTTACAGATATTACGGCCGTCACAAGAATGAGTCTTCATCATCAGAACTAGATTTGTCAGATTCAGACGACAAAAATGATCAGAACTCAGAAAAAACTTCATCTGACAAGTAAGTATTAAATTTTGATAAGTTTTGATTTCTTTGAATATTTTATATGTCAACTTTTAAATGTATCTTGTTGATGTAGAGATTAGGCCCTGTACATATGAGGGCGGAAGCCGCCGCGGTCGCTATTGCGCGGGAACCGCGGCGGTTGAAAGTACAAAGGAGCAAATGGGACCGTTCAACATTCAACCGCCCACATCCAATCACCTGCAACAAACCGTCGCAGATTTCCCTTCCCGGTTGGAGTTACTTGAGTTGGCATGAGAGCGTATACATGAGGGCGGTAGCTGGCGTGGTTGACTTGCTGTTGGATTAAACAGTCACACACATATGCGCGCTCGCTTAATGTCACGACAAGTTTCTCTTCTGGCGAAATCCTATCCCTCACTGTGTGCTCACTAGGTGATAAGTAATCTTTTACTAAAGTCATGGAAATAGGTTACACTCATCCGAAAGTAATTAAAAAACTTAGGAGGGTATTCTCTTAATTTTGGGTACAGAGTAACAAATGAACCCAAGGTTAAGCTGTCGTCTATTACAGGATGCACTTACCATCTCCTTTCCTTCCAATCTCCTTACAACATCTCCTTAGTCGTGCTGCCACATTTACAGACTTTTTTTAAAATGTAGTAACAGCTGTGTAGTTAGAATCGAACAACGGATTACTACTGTCGTTTGTTGATTCTGATGATATAAATATACAATTTAGTTTAAGATATCTCAGTTATAGACAGTTTGGAATAGACAACTCCAGATATGTTGTGAATCATGCTGTCACTGTTGGTTTTTCATTGTTTCAGGAATGTTCTGTATTGTTTTATTTTAATTTCCAGGAATGTTCTGTATTGTTTTGTCATTGTTTCAGGATCATTCTGTAATGTTTTCTCATTGTTTCAGGATCATTCTGTAATGTTTTCTCATTGTTTCAGGATCATTCTGTAATGTTTTCTCATTGTTTCAGGATCATTCTGTAATGTTTTCTCATTGTTTCAGGATCATTCTGTAATGTTTTCTCATTGTTTCAGGATTATTCTGTATTGTTTTGTCATTGTTTCAGGATTATTCTCTAATGTTTTCTCATTGTTTCAGGATCATTCTGTAATGTTTTCTCATTGTTTCAGGATTATTCTGTAATGTTTTCTCATTGTTTCAGGATCATTCTGTAATGTTTTCTCATTGTTTCAGCATTATTCTGTATTGTTTTCTCATTGTTTCAAGATTATTCTGTATTGATTTGTCATTGTTTCAGGATTATTCTGTATTGTTTTGTCATTGTTTCAGGAATGTTCAAGCTGTGGGTAATGCGGGTGGCAGATCCAAAGTCAGTAAGAATCAAACTGTCCTCATAGCCTACACTAGTTAGCCACAAACCACTAAACATGTCATTGAGTCTTCTGCGGGACAAACTATGTGGATTTACCCAATCAGATTAACTTATAAGACCTAGGATATAACATACAGCGCTAGGGCCCAGGTTTTAGGATTTTGGCTAGGATAGCAGGCTTACCTGAAGGGGAAAGAGTTCTACTTGGCACAAAAGTCACAAAAAATACACTACACTCAAAACATTCAAATATTTTACTCTCACTGACAGCATTTTTAACCCAGAAAGGTATGAGATAAAGAGAGTTTTTAAAGAGTTGTTTAGCCACCGGATTACTGTATTATACTCATATACTTGCTGTAGTAATCCTTTGTTGCTGTTTTGGCAACTAGTGTCTGTTCTCCATCATCATCAGGCCTCAAGGTGTCAGGCGATCACTTTATTTGAAGGTCGTTAACAAAACAGAGTACAATAAATAAAACACATACGAGACACAAACTAAACACAAAAACATAGAATAAATATTCAGTTACAAAAAAAGCACGAAAAACATACAAAGGAACATTAACAAAAACAAACATGACCGGGCTAAAGTAAAGTCTAGAACGTATATTTATTATAAGTTTTAGTGTATCGTTTGTGTCTCGTATGTTTTATTTATTGAACTCTGTTGACTGTTGACTCTAATGACCTTAGTTAAATAGTAGACTGTGATATTATAATATTGGCAACACTGTCACAACAAATTCGGCCACCATTATGCCTGAAGGAAACTGTCTCTTCAACTCATACTTTGCTGAAAGGATTTTTTAATGGAAGTTTTAGTAGAAGTCTCGCCTTACTGACAAAAATATATGAAAATGCAGTGTCGAGTTGTGTTTAGTTTGAAGTTTTGTGTTTCTTTAAGCCAGTATGGACTCTTTCCCCGTTCGGGTAAATTGTTGGACATCAGTGATTCAAAAGCTAGAACATCTCTATGTAATTGAAGGGAATTCTCAGTAGTTTGGTGTATATTTTTATTCCAACTTTACTTAAGGGATTTAGAAATTACAATTGTCTGTTGCATTGACTTAAGATACTAAAAGTAGACCAGCTGTAGTCAGTTTTAACTCAAAGTGAAGAAATTGAATAAACCTCTTAGAATGTTAAAACACTTTCTTTATAGTTGTTTGAAAGAGCCTCATCAGAGTCTATAGTTTACTCTAAGTTTCCATTGTAGTTAGGAGTGATTAAAACGCTGGCTTATAAGCAAGAAACTCTATTTTACATCAATACACTTTCCATGGATTAATTTGTTAATTGGAAGTTATTTTTAAAATTCTAGATCTTTAGTAGAAGTTATTAGTAACAGAAAAACAGTTCCAAAATAAATCGTTGATGAATTACTTTTTTAGCTATAAATTACCATCTACTCCTTTTAGCATAATCTTATCCTTGTATCTGCCATCTTAGACAATATTTATCCATACGGGGAAGGATTTATCAATACAATTTAACTACCATAAAATTAACACACTTGATCAAACACAGAGTTTTTGGGACCCATTGGGACAAACTAATTATGTATCAAAGCGGCTAAAACTTGTACACAAAAAATGTTACACATGTGACATTGATAATTGATTGTTGTGTTAGGCTTCTTAGAAAATTGTAGATAATCTTCCATCTAATTTATAATTAATCTACCCTTTGAAGAATGCAACTTAAACATCCTTACTGTGACAACATATTTGCCTCATATAATTAAACCTTTTCTTGTCCATAACAAAACTTTTCTTTTATGAGCTAAAATGAACTCTTTAAAAAAAAAATCCTTTTCCAAAGAGTTACTACATAGTTTAGGAAATAAGAGGCACTGTTGTAATAAGTAAGGCTTTATTAGACTATTATAATACTCGTGTCCAAGTATCATCGAGGTTAAGCCATTTTTATAACTTGTAAATGTTTCAAATTTCCACCAATATAAGTGATTATACTAGCAAAAGCAGGTCTTGGGCTTCATCCTCTATTGTAATACACTTTTAATAACACTTTGTAGGCTAGGGTTAATTATATGGATGGATTAGTCAAACAGTGGCCTGTTTTCCATTTAACTTATTGTTTAAAAATTGAAAAAGCTCACTGTTTAATCAATCCAGCCATAACATCATCCAATATTTTGCAACATAAGTTCCAGAACCATGTGTTAATCAGTAATTATTTACAGCCTGGGTCGTCTTCAAACTCAAACTCCAAGATGTCACTTCAAGAACGGCTTAAAAAGAAGAGGCAGGCGTTGATCAATAGACAGTGTAAGTTTTTGATTGTGAATATTTAATTATTATTTGTTTTAGTCTCTAATACCGTAGATTTCTTATGGTAGGTGAGTTGGTGGCTCAGTCGGTAGCTTTGCGGACTTCGGGTCCAAGGCAGCGATTTCGAGGGTTCACATACTGGTATCTGCCACTACTTTAATCAGTACAGTTCACCCTTGTACTGTACCGGCTCACCCCTTGCTTTGTTGGATATGTTCCTCGCACATGTCTGCAGCCTATGTGGACAGGCGAATGCAAGGTTAAAAGAGGCCACAAACCCTTTAAAAAAAGTAGAAGTAAGTACCGGATCTCCAGTCTATCTCACTCGGTTGATCACCGCTATTTTAACACTTTCCAAGGCCTTGCCTTCCAGCTTTGACTGTTCTATTAGTGTCCTCCCAAGTTCTTCCAATATTTTACATTCCAGGGCCTTCTTTGGCAACATGTCCATGATCGTTTTCCAAGGTGTGTGCTACCCATCCCCATTTTCTTCTTCTCTTAACTTCTTAGTTTGTTCAACAACCAATTTCCTCGTTTGACATTGTTTCCATACCCAAAATGTGTGCAATCAACATATATTTTAACTCATAACTAAACATGAGTATGGAATGCATAAGATTGTTGTAGCTTTATTACCTAAGACCAACTGATAATCGATTATTGACTGGACCCTGTTTTAAATGAACAAAATTGACTGACAAGATTGTTTACAGACAAAGCTGATAAGAAGGCAGAACGTCTGCGGCTGGAGAAGGCTGAACAGGAACGGCAAGATAGGGAGGACGAGATGAGGGAAATATCCATCAAGATGAGGCGGAGGTTAGTAGTTAGGCCTTAACTACAGATAACTGATGTAGTTATTATAGGTTGTTTGCCAAGCCAAGTGGCTGGTTGTAGTTGTGGACAGGCTATGTTGAACAGATCCAACCCATTGGTCGATGGGTTGGATCTGTTTCCTAAGTCGGGTATTGTCCTCCGGTGGGGCAATCAGTCCTTTATTGATTTTTTTTATAAAACCGTGTAAAAATAAGTTATGTAAAAGAGAACAAAACAAAAACAGTTTTGACCAATTTGCAGTTTTTTTTTATAAAATTGACAGAAATGTTAAGATAACTCACAATATTGCATTGTTTCAGTCGTATTTTTTTACATTAAAGAATATTACTTGTTGCTGTTGGGCTCGCTAGTCTCATTGAGTGTAAACTTAGTAACAAGGCTAACTTAGACATCTTATATTGAGTAAAAATACACACCAAGGTGTATTTTTTGGTTGTTGGTAAATCATTTTAAGCTCTAATAAACATAAATTTGGTGTAGTGTGCCTTTCTCAAAATGTTATTGTGACCCATAATGGCCACACTATCGTGAACATCTCACTACTGCGTCGACATTTTGAACATCTCAAGCAATCGCAAAAACATTATCGTCTCTGAGATTGCGGTAAAGTATTGCATAATAACCAATAAATCACGACCAATAGTCATCAATTTTGGTTATGTTATTTTTTATATAAATTGGTAAAGCTAACGACCGACTTTGAAAACTGACCCAGCCCTATTGAAAATTAATATCTCATGATGCGGTCGGTGTTACAGAGAACGCCAGAAGAGACACCAGTACTACGAGATGGACGACACCAACGCAGCCGACATGTCAGACGAGGACAGATTCAGCTCTGCAAGTTCTACGTCCGGTAGTGAGAAGCAAGGATCTGGCTCGGAGCAGAGGTAAGCCCCAACAACAAGTATTTGGTAACTGTCAGAATGTGAACAATATTTTACAAGATCCTTTAAAACAAACCTTTTGACTGTTTTAACAGCAACTTATCATTTATTAGAAAGAGTATATATCATTACAAGTACTTCCAAATCATTACAGGAACTTAGGCATAGCCAAGCTTGTAAGATTATTTTCATGATGGAGGCAAAGTTGAGGACATAAATGATTGGAGCAAGTGCTGGAAAATTGATTTTGCTACAAGCTATGAACGATACTTACACACACACAGAATAAAAGATCTCAGTAAAATAAAATTATTATATTTCTCAATTATTATTTCTTATAAAAAAAAGCAAATAGGCTACAGTAAACCTACATAAGCTTATGACTATTTCTGTTTTACATTTAGATTGTTAAACTGTAAAAACAGCCAATAAAAACGAGTAGCAGAGTACAGTTGTTAAAAAACCAATAGTATTTCTGTTAAATGGCCTATAGTAATAAAATTACTGTTTTCACTAACAATTTTCTATCTTTCAGATCTCATTCTCGATCTTCAAAGAAATCCAATCGTACTCAAGATTTGGACAGGAGTCGAAATAGTCGAGAACGAGACAGGAGCCGAGAGAGAAAAGACTCTTATCGAGAGCGAGGGCGAACACCAGAGCGGGACAGGGAAAGAGACAGGTAACGTGTATAACAGTTACGTTTGCTCCAACTCTTCTGTAAAGTATAGAATATTTGCAAGTTCAAGGTTGGTAAGTAATGCAGTCTATATCTTTTTACTTTCCCCTCTTATAAGTATTGTATTGTTCAAAAACTGAATAAATTTTATTTCAGATGGTCTAAGAGACGAGATAGAGAAGACGAAAGGCCGTATAGAGACAGATCTAGAGAGAGAACAAGAGATTCTAGAGATGCAAGAGATAGAGAAGCGAGCAGAGACATCAGAGATAGAGAAGCGAGCAGAGACATCAGAGATAGAGAAGCGAGAGATCGAGAAGCAAGAGATAGGTCGAGAGACAGACATAGAAGAGGACGAGATAGAGAATGGACGAGAGACAGAGAAAGACGACGGAGTAGAGAAAGAGATTACCATGATGGATCTGTAGTGGTAAAGGCTAAAAGGTAACTATTTTTTTTACTTTGGGTCAGGTTGGGTAGAAGGGTTGCTTTGGAAAATTAGGATTGAAAAAACATTTATTGTAGTTCTACCTTACTACAAACGTTTCTTACATAATGTTGTACATGATCTCCTCCATATTTTTGTGAAATTGTAAGCATTTTACACGGTTACAGCAAAATCATTAACGACTTCCGTGGTAATGGTGAAATCTAGAACGCCTTCCACAGTCTTGCCAACGTCATTATCATCCTTCAAGACAGTGGAAAAATTGTGAATATTACATGTGATTGCAGCAAAATCGTACATTTTTTATTGCTTTCTGTGATTGCAAGAGTAAAATCTTCACCCAACCCAAAGATATCAGGGACGCGCAGACCCCTATTAAATATTCATCCAACTAAAGTCAAGTTCCTCAAACTTTACACTCAAATACCTGTCAGTCTGGATTTCTTGATGAACTTAGTTTTTACGTTAGTCTGGATCAAATTGTTGTGTTTTCCCTATACAGAAATATCAAAATAAAAATTGATTAAAAAACTAAATGCCAATTTTTATTTTTTTTTTTTTTGTGGGATTTCCCCTTAAACAAATTTACAAATAGGAAGACAGATTGTTACTGTTGGTTGTTTAGATGTAACTTTATAAAAATGTGTTACATTTTAAAATATTTTTCAGGCCATTGGTGGATTATTAAGTTCCTGTTGCTGTGTTTCTTGAGTGTCAAATACGGAAGACTGAGAGAAAATATTCTACTCTGTTTTAACGTTGTTAATGCTTAGTGTACATAAGAATATATATTTTGTCTCTGTGGATGCTTGTTTTATAAAATGTATAATATTTTATATTCTTTCCAAGCAATGGACTGGTTTTACTGTGTATAATATTGCTAAATGTAACATAACTTATGTTTATTTGTCCTTGTTTGAATTCACTTTGTGAAAGCCAGGTATATTTTTTTCATTAGATTTATGAACATCCTTTTCTGTGAGACTATGGATGTAGTAGAAAATGTGTAGGGGCAAAACTACTCTTATTTGTTTTATCTTATTGCCAAATAAAACTAATATATTTGAATAAAGATAAAAGTATAGTTTTCCACGCCGTTAGATTTTAATTTTAAGTTTATGTTAATTTTTCAACTTTTTTTTGCATGTTTTATGTATTCAGTTTTAGGCTGAATTAATAGCTATAAAAATATATTTGGAAAAAGTTTTAAACTTGACTTGCTATCTTAATTATTTTGAATTATTCTTTATAAGTTGCTACTTGTAACGGTGCAACATTTGATTGAGATAAAATTTTAATGTCTTTAAATTATTTTTAAATGTTAATAATTTTCTTTTGTTGTTAGTTTCTGTAAATATTGATAATCTTCCAAGTCCTGTTTGAAATTTAATTTATTTAAATTTTCCATATGAAAAATGTAGAACATAATTTTTGCCTGTGATTGCTTTAACAAACATAAAAAATTAGTTAATTCTTACTCCATTCTGATTGCATGAGAAATAATAAAATATATGTAATTTTTATCAATTTAAACAATAAGTTTTTTACTTGTTGAACCTTCTTTTAATAAAGGATATTCAACTGGAGGTTTTGATTTCTTAATTCTTTTCAACCCTTAAAATTAGGCAATCTTAATACTGTACAATCTTGATTTTTCCTCACTGACTCTCTAGTTCACACCTCCGGTCTGTTACGGTCAATTTAATACTATGAACACACTTTTGAAGGCTCCATCATCCCTATAATGATGGGATGTTTTAATAAAAAGTCCCATCTCAGTTACAGCCCATTTAGAAAGTCCAATAATAAGTAACAAAAGAGAGCGAGAGTTCCAACTAAACCTACTTATATAGACTCGACATAGAGTATCAAACTCAACTTGAATAATAATACCATTGATGGTTTAGAATAAGAACATACATATATGACATCTCCCTTCTTTACAAATAAAATAAAACAATTACATTACCACATTATTTTTAAACAATAATAAAACCAAAATAAATCTCTTCTAAATTATATAATTTTCTAAATATAGCTGCTGCACTGATTTATTTAATTTTTTTTCCCAATCCTCAAATGAGTATATATTTATTTTTAGTGGCCATTCACAAATAAATTAGATACCTAACATTAAGGACAAAATGCAAAACATGAGGAAAGGTATAAAAAACAATCAGTCATTGGTAAACAAGACATATCGATTTATTTACTTAAATATTTTGCCCTGGTTGAATTCCCGGCCAGCCTTATCTTTGCCTGTCCATGAGAAGTATTGTTGGACGAGTTGCTTGGTGTCTGCTGAGGTAGCGTCCAGCTTCTTCCAGTCATACGACTCAAAGTCAATTTGCCAGTCAGGGCTCAACTCAAATGCGAGACCCTGGCCTCTCCAGACCCAGATTCCTGAGATGGTGCTGTCATCATCTTTGCCAAACAGACAGACAGAGGTAAAGGCCTGCTTCCTCATCTTATCTAATCTCTGGAACATACCTGTAATTAAGTTACAGCTCATGTAGACCTTCTTGAGCTCTTCGGGGTACTTGTACTCTCCGTACCAGATGGAGTAGTTGTCCTTTTGTTCTCTTAAAAAGAAATTGTGTCTTTCAAAAGTTTCGTTAACTTCAGGCAAAAAGTAGTTATCAAACTTTTTAAGAACATGTTTTAAGTTATTGAATACTTTCAAAGCCCTATCACCTATTATGCTTAAAAGCAAAGACACTTGATATTCTGAGTCTTCATTTCGAGATTTTGATGCAACGAGATATATTTCGAATTTCTGTCGGAAAAATTTCCAATTTTCTCCTAAGTTACCTGACCATTGAAGTTCTGATGGCGGTCGAATGTGAGGTGCACTACTTGAACTTTTAACATTGTGCCCTTTAACATCTATCTCCTCTTGCTCATTATTACTTTTGGGCATTTTTATTCCTTTTTATGTATAGTGGCTGTAACATTACTTTTAATTTGACGGCTTTTTAAAGAAATTTCCTCTCGGAAAGGTTCCTGCTTTCGAGTCCTTACTTACTTACTTACTTACTTACTTCCGCAGCTCTACAGGCCTTGGTGGCCTTTGGCTTCTGCTACAATTCGCCTCCAATCGCCTCGATCTTGCGCCATCTCTTTCCAATTCCTCACTCTCAACATCCTCAGGTCATCCTCCACCTCATCAAGCCATCTTCTTCTCGGCCTACCCCTTCTCCTAGTCCCTTCCATGTTCTGGCACAATATTTCTTTGGGCTGTCTTCCTTGAGGCATTCGCTCCACATGGCCTAACCAACCGATCCTTCTTGCTTTGATGAAGTGCACAATATCCTCCCCTTGCAAAATGTCGTTTATTTCAGCATTCTTCAACATCCTCCATCTATCCCCTTCCTTCACCGCTCCATGTATTCTTCTTATTATTTTCCTTTCGAACACTCTCAGTGCGTTTGTGTTCACTGCAGATAGGGACCAGGTTTCTGCACCGTACGTAACAACCGGCCTAATGAGAGTCTTGTACAGCTTCATCTTTGTGTTGCGGGTCACCAGCTTGGATTTGAGGATCCCAAGGTTAGCATAATATGCCCTGTTACCAGCCATGATTCGGTTTGTGATTTCTTGCGCAACAGTGTTTTTGCTGTTCAGCTCTGCCCCAAGGTAAACAAACCTATCCACACCCTTAAAACAATAATTGCCTACATCCAAGTTTTGGATTCTCCTTCTGGCTTCTGCTTCAGACATTTTCATGTAGTGTGTCTTTTCCTCATTTATTTCCAGACCCATACGACTAGCCTCCTCTTCAATAGTCTGAAACATTTCTTTTAGGTCTTCAAGGCGTCTAGCAACAAGCGCTATGTCATCAGCATAGGCATGTGCTTGTATCATCCTACGAGTAATGTTCCCTCTCAGGTCTAGTCTACACATAGCACTATGCAAGGCCAAATTAAAAAGCAGAGCTGATAGCGCATCACCCTGCCTGACACCTCTTGAAATCCTAAACACTTTACTTTGTTTACCACCCACAGCTACTAAACTATAAGTGTGTTCTAATGTAACTTTTGTGAGCCGCACCAGCTTCCCTGGAAAACCATAACACTCAAGGGCATCAAGTAGTTTTCTCCTGTCTATGCTGTCAAATGCCTGTTTAAAGTCAATGAACAACATGTGCAAATCAACTGCGTATTCATAAGTCTTTTCCATAGTCTGGCGCATGTTAAATATTTGATCAATAGTTCCTCTTCCTGGTCGGAATCCACATTGGTACTCCCCGAGTACATTCTCTGTGAAGGGGCTAAGCCGCATGACCAAAATAGCAGAGAATATCTTGTACGCTACATCCAACAAAGTGATACCACGGTAGTTTGCTTTCGAGTCCTCTGATGGCAAATACATCACTGAGAGCAGTGGCTAATGCACAACTTAGAGGCGCTAACGATGTTGAGAAGGCACAAATATTGCAGTGGCTGAGCTTTGCTGACAGTGAAATCCTGCCAGCCTCATGCACTTGGGTGTTCCCTACACTCGGCATTATGCAATACAACAAACAGGCGACAGAGCGAGCGAAGGAAGACGTGAAGGCGGCTCTGCAGGTGTTGAACACTCACTTGCTCACAAAAACTTACCTGGTCGGTGAACGGATCACTCTGGCCGACATCTGTGAGTGCTGCACTTTGCTTCATCTGTACCAGTATGTCCTGGACCCCAGCTTTAGGCAACCCTACCAGAATGTCAACAGATGGTTCACCACAATCATCAACCAGCCCCAGGTGACTGCTGTCATCGGTTCTTTCAAGCTTTGTGAGAAAATGGCCGAATTTGATGCCAAGAAGTTCGCCGATGTCCAAGCTGCCACCAAAGGAGGAGCAGCGAAGGAGACTGCAAAGAAGGACAATAAGAAAGACAAGGCTCCAGAGGATAAGAAAAAGAAAGAGGAGAAAAAGAAGGAGCAAGAAGATCCAGCTGAAGAACCTGATGCTGCAGAAGCACTACTTGCTGCTGAGCCTAAGTCTAAGGATCCTTTTGATGAAATGCCTAAAGGCACTTTCAACATGGACGACTTCAAGAGGTGTTACTCCAATGAAGACGAAGCTAAATCCATCCCCTACTTCTGGAAGAAGTTTGACAAGAACAACTAAACCTACTTATATAGACTCGACATAGAGTATCAAACTCAACTTGAATAATAATACCATTGATGGTTTAGAATAAGAACATACATATATGACAATCCCTGACTCATGTTCACATGAAAAACCCATTGAATATTTAGGAGAAAACTAATCCCATTGCTTCTAATTTCATACGAGTCATGACTCATCTTCCGGCGTCGCCACACGTGTCCCCCGTGATTAATTACACTGGCCAGTTTTTTACAGTATTATATTCGTTTTTCGTGTTCGTGTATGTGTTTTGAGTGTATCGACGAATCTAACCAAATTAGTTAGATGACCTATTGACGTTTTTGCCTGAAGATGGACTTATTTTCAAGTCCGAAACTATAGTAGTGAAATACTAAAGAAGGATCACTTGACGAAGCCAGGTAACTTAAAACTTTTTAGCTTAATCCCATTGCTTCTGGAGGCCCAGAAAAATTACTACTCATTATTGACTTTGATCGAACTTTAACAAAGAGCCTTGAAAATGGAATACTGACAATCCACTTTTTGCCTTCTAGAAAACTATTTCAGCGCCAATGAAGAAATAAGGGATAAGCTAAAATGTAACTTAGAAAAATATTTCCAGCAAAAGTGACGCAAAGCTAATATGAGAAAATTCTTTTCATTGTGAAATGGTGGGAGAGAATTCAGAGGTGTTGAATGGTACGATGATGTAGACCTCAGAAAAAAACGGGCAGTCTTTCGGGAATCACACAAAAAAATTTTTGGAGCAATTGCAAAACAGCAAAGTTCCAGTGTTGGTCTTCTCAGTCGAGATTGGAGGATTGGCAAAACTGTCCCTAAATCATAAAGGTTTCCTGACAAACTACCTTCACATTCTGGCCAAATTTTTCAGAATAGAGGACGGAAAAATCGCTGGATGTCAAGGGAATGTAATTTATGTCTTAGAACAAAAACTCGCAACTCATTCAGAACACAACTTATAAGGGAACTTACTGATAAGGGAAATTTAATCAAAGAAAATATTTCATTTACACAATTTACTTTTACACTTCAATAAATAACAAATATATACATTTTACATCTATAATATACTTAGAATATCAAGGAAATATATTATTCCTATACACTAAATTACATATTCATTGATTAATTTCCAATGTGGACGGTTATTTGAAAAATATAGCTATTGTAAGTGGCTTTGTGCCATCTTTTCTAGATTTGTTTGGTTACATTTCTACCCTCCCAAATTCAAATTGAATATTACAAAAATATGCATTGACCTTCTCAATTATTAAAATAATACTGATTATACTCAATAACATACATATTCTAACAATTATACCACAATCTAGCTTGACCATACAAAAATCTGTTCTGTACTATATATCTTCAATCAAGTTACAAAAATAGAGTGAGTAACAATAAGTAAACATAACTGCAAAATACTATTTGGAAGACTCAGCTATATAAACCTGCCCACCTCTAATATTCCTGCTAAACAAGATTGTTTCTATTTCCAACAATAAATAGACTACCAAATTATAACTATTTGCTATAGACCAAATGTTTGGTATAACTTATGATTAATTTTGAGCAAGAAATATAATCTAACTCTTCACATAAAAAAACTGTTTTGAGAAAAATTATTTATATGACTAAATATAACTTCATTGATTTTTTTTTAGTTCCGCCTTTGTTTACAGTCCCACCTCCATTATTTCAATTAGCAATATTTTACTATACGTAAAAAATAACTGGTTTTATTGTTCATGCCAAATGTCAATTTAACATACAACTTATCTTCAGTAAGTAATTCAGCTTTTCATTTTCAAAAAATTTAGTTTGAGATAAATAGACGACCTACTAAATAGAGTTTAATCAATTATCCTAAACAGCCTTATGGATCAATTTTTTCAGTTAGCAATCAGCAAAATTTTTCTTTGTCAACAAAAATAATAAATAATCAGCAACATTATTCAAGCTAAATGTTAATCTTAAGCTTCTTCTTGAGCAAATACAACTTATAAGCTAGCATGGGTAGGAGGGGGGTGTAGATGGGTCCATGAATCTCTTCGGAATCGCTCCATTTCCCCCTCCGCCGTCCTCTCCTCCGCAGGTACTGCTTCCAGATGTGTATAGTCCGGTTGGAGGGGGATGTACTCTGGGTAGTGGGGGTAGTCGGAGGGGAAGGGATGCCATGGAGGAGAAGTGGAGGGGGAAGGTTGTAGTGGAGGGGTTCCACAAGTGTAAGTAGGTTGGCTCCAGGAGTAAGTTGGAGTGAATACAGGGCCAGGGGATGAACAGGATTCTGTGTTGTAGACTCCTGTAAAATAAAAAGCTATTGAGATTTTTTTATATGGTTGGAATTAAAAATTGTTAATCTTAATGCATCTAATGGCCACTGTAAATTCTAAGTTACAGTTAGTTGTTAGGCGAGGAGAGAGATAAAATGAGAGTTCAATGTAAAAGAATTAATATGTAAGCTGGAGCAAAAAAACTTGCTTACAAGATTATATAAATCTCTTGAACTAAAATATTTAATTTCTGAGGGAGTTTACTGCTTATTAAAGAGTTGTGACACTTTGTAGGTCATAGCTCAGAGTAATAATTTTGTTTTATTACTCTGAGGTCATAGTAAAATCTAGAACATCTGCAGTTATGGGGATATTGTGAATACCTTCTGTGGTAACAGCATAATCTAGACTATATCTTAGGTCTTGGCGAAATTATAAACGCCTTCTGTAGTCACAGCGATATCTAGAACATTTTCCGTTTGTGATGAAACTCATGAACATCTTGTTTGGTCACTGTGACATCATCATTATTTCCAAAATAATGGGAAACCCTAGAACATCACTTGCAATAGCAGCAAAATTGACAACTTTCAATAGCACAAACAATTTCTACGGTTGTGGAAATAAAACCTTGGCTCAGCTTTGACCCTACCCAACATTTTTTTCAGGTTCAAACCGGATCCCTCTTGCCGACTGTTGGCCTGAGCAAAACTAAAGGTATCCGGGACCTGCAGACCCTTACCCTCTAGATAAGTTTAACGACTCACCGAACTGAGTGGTGCCTGGAGGGGAGGGTCTACTAGTTGGTCGAGGAGGATAGGGTGAGCTTCGCTGACTACGACACACTCTCTCATTGTTGTACACTGTTGTCTGAGGTAGAAGCCAGTTACTGGTATCTGTAACATACAAAGTTAATAAGCATACAATAACCAAGAGCGAGTGTGTGAGATTATTTTTTTAAGAAAAGATGTTAATGATATTCTTGGATAGGCTTTTAAAGTCACTGATTGTAAATTTGTTGTAGTCCATGTCAAAAACGACACAATTCCAACTATTGGTGTTTTGGACTTGACATATTGTCATTTACAGGGTGACTTTCCCCCCTGAGATAGCGTAGCAAGTGGCATCATACTTGCTTGGATCTGTACGGAAATCAAATCGCCCTGAAGATGGCACTCTGCATCAAGTTAGAAACATCAATGGATGAAAGTTTTGCCTTGATTTTTCATTTTGACTTGATCGACCATAGAATACCATGAATCTACTAATTAATGAACTTAAAAATCTTTAAAATATTGAATCATGGTCTTGAAAATCTTAAATTCTACCTGTAAGAGTATAATTATCACCAACAAATTTCAACCCTTGGCGATCAGAAATATTATTGCTTTTGTTTCAGTACAAGTAGAGAGCTTAGGATGGAAGTTAGTCATGTGAATAGGTGGTACATGTTGCATATTACATACCTAATGATGAATGTTCTCATAAATCCCTTACCCACATCAATGACGAGGGAAGCTTTATAGGATATCTATACTTACACTGTGGATATTGAGGTTGCTGAGGAGGAACGTACTCCCGACTGTACATTGTAGAGTCAGGACGTTCCTTGGCGTCCAAGAACGCCTTTGCAAACGGGTTGTACTTGATCTTCAGAGAAGTCACCTGCAGAAAAGTTAAAACATTTTTAGCTGTAAAAGGTATATTTTTCTTCCTCTCTGTTTCTATTTTGGGATCCAGCAAGTTCGATATTAGCCATGTATCCTCTGTATACCGAACTATTATACGGTTACAAAGAAGGGATTGCTTGAAATTCTCCTTTGTTTCTTGGTTTACCGAATTTTCTTATAAACAACACTCGATTTCAGTAATCATTTATTCAACCTGGAAGCTTAAACCAATAGATCAAACAAAATCTCCAACAGATTTATCTATGCTTTGTTCACCTTAAAAAAAATGGACTTCGGAGACAAACAAAAATACTAATTTATAGAACACTTTTATTTTGTCTAAGATACATCTAGTTCTTCCATGGTTTTAGGTTTTATCGTTGTCATACAACTATGTTAATTGACAATAGATTATTGGCTTCATTAAAAAAAGTGAACCAAAATCTAGTTTGATAATTTGTTATAGCCTACAACAGAAACTACAATGAAACGTAGAGATACAAAAAATATAATCGCAAATAGTAGGATTTCTTTTTACCTCTTCATTCTGATATGCGGTGACAGCTATGAACTGAGTCTCAGGAAAAGGGTAGGTGACAACTCGTCTTTGGTCTGAGCCGACTCTCACTATGTGAACACGGGGCTCGTACTTGTGGAGCGAGTTCAACATTATCTGTCAAAATAAAGACAAATAAAGTTGAAGCAAAATATAAAATCCTAAAGTACCTTGTTTAGGGACTGTAAGTTATTGTGTTGTACTGTTGTATTAAAGAAAGCCATGTGGCTGATAGTAATTTTTCAAGAAGTTATAGAGTTCATCAGCTAGCTTAACTGAGAAAATAGTTTGAAAAGAATTAAATAAATGAAAATTAAATGTAAAATTCTTGATTTTTTCACTAAAATATAAAAAATAGAGTTTACACAAAGAAATGGTCAGAAAATAATAACACAGGTATTTTTTTCCAAATACAAGTCTTTAAACAGTGGATAGAAAAGCTCTCTTGTGTTTTGTGACTTTTTTCATGTATCTATGACGTAGACTCTTATTTCCTTGTGTAACCTAACTGAACCCTAACCCCTTTCAAAACACTCCTAATCATTGCATTGTTTCTTCATTAGTTTAGTGGTGCTTGATTTCAGCAGGGTGGCTTTCCAGTACCCTCTCTTTCAGAAAGATAAAAATATTAACATAAATAGTTACTTACCACATTAAATAGGTTAGGTACAGTTCCGGCACCTAATTTTTTATATTTATTTTCAGTTTTTGAATTAGAGACTCCGAATCCCTCTAAGGATAAAAACCTCTAAAAATGAGAAAGTTCAAGGTTTAAAGACTTACATTATAACTACACAACTCTTCAGGCTGTTAACCACATAACCCAAGTAGCACACATCGTTGGCCCAACGTTGGGAAATTGTCGGCACGGTTGGGAAATGGTTGGCAGAAATTTTAACGATTTGCCAACGTTGGCCCAACGGAAACTGGTATTCATTGGCCCTACAAAGGAAAGAATCGTTGGGCCTTCGTTGGGTTTAAGTATAACACATTCTAAAACAAATTTTAACAAATTGATTTATTTAAAAGTACATAAGTGTTATGGCAGCAGAGTATAAGACAAATATATTGTAAAAATTTGGATCAATAATGAATGTAGTCAGATGATGTTGTGATACTAGATACAGTGGGGAACACCTGCTTAACATATAATAATTATAAAAATTATTTTTTTTATATTCTTTAACTTATTTAAGCAAGTTTTTAATAGTTATAGAGAAAAGATTAATTAATTATATAACAATCAATTATAACAGTAGACTACTAATCTAATGGCAATTAAATAATCTATATTCAAATACTAGTATCCTCTCCAACTACCAGAAAAACAATTCAACTACTTGAGACCTAAACAGATTAACACAATCATATTATACAGTAGCATCAAAAATATTATTGTAGTATTAATTGTGACCATTGCACCTGTCGGCTACTCTTTCACCACTTGAAAACACCTGTATTCAACAAGTACAGTTAACTCAGAGGTAAGGCGTGAGGCTCACATGTCGAAGGTACCGGGTTCGAGACCCTACCTGGTCAAAAAATTTTATTTCGTTTTATTTTCAAAATAAGTTTTCATCAACTATTTAATCAATTTACTCAACTCATAATTATGCTTTGCATACAAAATCTTTATTATTTTGTGTTTTTTATGTTTATGCCCAATGGGATGGTTGGCCCTTCTGCAAAAATTGATTGGTTGGCCAACCGTAAGACTGAGTGCCAAAACATACCGTTGGCCAACGATCGACAGAAACGTTGGGCCAACGATTTGCCAACGATTTTTGCTACTTGGGAAAGGCATATAATGATTTAAGGTACAATATGTGAATTTTTGGTCAAATTTAAATTTTAAAGATGATTAAAAGAGGGGTGATATTCCTAGTGTACAACAAATACAAAAGTGTCTCACCTGTCCACTGCCGTTGGTCTTGTTTGTCAGTTTGACCTTTGCGAAGGACACGGACTCCTTCATCCAGTGAGCCCCAAAGTTGGGAGACTCGGGGTGAATGTAGATGGGGTTCGGAGGGGCGACTTCTGCCTTACCACCCGGGACCCACTCTCCGTTCACATACTTCCACCTGGCACAAGCATAGTGGCTATGATAGTATTTCATTGTAAAGAGGAATATTTGCTGTTTTATCTATTGGGTGGTTCAACTGTTTAAGAACACAAGCCTCATCCTTGCTCATATTTGAGTGAAAATACACCTGTTGTATCTCAAATTGGTTATAAGAAAAGCAGCTGAGTTTGGATTAATAAATTAAACAGCTAGGCTTGCTGAACTTTAAATCATAAATTTAAACAATAAAACAATTCAAAATCAGATGATTTGCAGCTTTTTTTCATAGTTTAGACTTTTGAGCTGAAAATATAATGTCAAATTGCACCATTTGCAAACTTAGACGTGCGGTTTGTAAGGAAAATTGTAAAACAAAAAGTCTTATTGGAAACAAAGATTTCAGAATATAAATACTTGAATAGATGAGGTGGTTTTATATACTGCTGTCAAGACAATATGATTATATCATTGTTGTTTACCGTCTATAATTTGAAGGTATTAAAAATCGTATGATGTAAAAATATAGTAATCTGATTTTCTATTGCATGGTTTTATTGTCCTATTGTACAGCAATATGATAGTGCAGGTTGTTCAAATATTAAAAAAAAACATAGTATGTTTTCTTCTTTTCAAAATACTGATTGTGATTACTGTTTTAATATTTAAAACAAGTGATGCTTATATATTCTACAAAACTATTACTGCAGTTTACCTGTGCTGTTCAATCTGTACAAACTCCAGCAGAACGGAGTACATAGCTGTAGGGTCAAGTCCTGTGATACTGATCTTGACAACTGGAAACATGCGTCTGGAAAATAGTGAGATCGTCAGTAAAAATCTCATTGTCTTGATCAATAAATAATTTGACCCCATTTGAAAGTATGACATAAGCCCATTTCTATAAGCCTATAAAAGCCTATTTCATTTTGACCCATTTCTGAAATAAGCTTGAAGAAGCAAAATGTAAGAAATAAATCAAATAAAAAAAAGATTCATTAAATTGCTTGCGTAATTTTGTCTCTATTAATTTTTAATACATTTTATTTTGTTGAATTTTTAAACCATTCCAAAGTTTCAGTCAGAGAAATAGCAATTTTAAACTTTTCATTTGTACTATCCATAGCTGCTGGAATAATATTTTTCCTACAGTTACCTAACAATGTACATGTTCTCTCACTGATTTTAGAAAGCAAAGTGGCCAATTCGCTCATCAGTGAGACAATGTTAACATTGTCTCACTCTAATTACTTTGTCTCACTCCAGATTTGCAACGTGAAGGCACGAAATAGTGAGCGCGTAACATGCAGTCAACGTCGTATGCGCGCGAAATACGTTGGCAGCACTGGCTGTAAATCAGCTGGTCAGCTGTTGTACTGTTGTATTTGTCACTTCGCATTAAATGTTATGTTATGTTATGTAAAGTTCACTTCTGTGTAAAAATAGGTTATGTTTCTTCACCAATTTATTTGTTTTATGGTAACTGTAGGAAAAGTATAATGTGCAACTCGAGTTCAAAGTACAATTGCCTCACTCGAGAAACCATTCCTCACTCGCCTACGGCTCGTGAGTAAGGATTTCTCTCGAGTGAGTCAATTGCTCACTTTTCTCACTAGTTGCACAAATAACTATTACTGCCTTTGACAACATATTCAGATTTTTATGTATTCAACCTTCAGCAGGACCCATACATATGAATCATGATATTGTTAATTCACTGCCAAACCTATTGTGAACAAAACCAAAACAATCCAACAATCAAATTATATTATTCTATTTAGTGCAGCAAAACGGCACAATGTAGAAAAAATTGTTGAAAAATGCGTTTGATTCTAGTAACTACTGTATGTTGAAACTGAAAGATGACGTTTGACTCTAGAGAGAGTTGACCATAGACATTCAAGATGGCCGCCAGTGTGCTCTGTACATAACAGAGTGATAATTTCACCATTTAGCACTTCGTCGTCATCCAAACGTCCAGCAAAACAAAACACGAGTTGGCTTCCCATCCTCAACCTTTGTGGGCTTTCAGTTTCAAAACCAGGATATTGAGGATACATTTTTCACATCGTATAAAATATACTTAGATGAACAGGAATGTAAACTCACAAAGATGTGTATGTTACTGGACAAAAGCAAACGACTGTTTGGACAAAAAGAACTAACAAGCAGTTAGAGTTGTGAGTTAGTTTAGCGAACAGCTGATTAATACATTGTTGACTTTATTATTACTTTTTCTTGTTTGCCGACATTCAGGATTTGTTTACTTTTTCGCTTTATGTAAACTTGTTAAACTAAACCCGTAGCATTTTAGTTTTGAAATTATTTTGTTTTTTATCATTTTTAGTCGTTTTTGGATTGTTGTAGGTTGTTCAAAGGTTTATTGCGGACATTTTCCATCACGATTGTTGTAGGTTGCTTTTGTAATAGTTTTTATTTTTAACTACAGTAGGTAGATCGTAGATTAATAAGTAGTACTTTAAAAGCAGAAACTATTATTATTGTTTCTGAAACACACTTGCTCAGTAAGATTTATTTAGTTCAATGTAAGTTTGTTATTTTGTCGTTTGTTGGATACGTAATCGTTATTTTCTCTTAAATGTTTATTTGAACAACTAATTAGTTGAATATTACCGTACCGTAATGTAATTTTCCCCCAGATTAATCCATTTTACTCCAAACACATGATCGTAATTAATTTTTTTGTTAGATTAAACATAGATTTTATCAGTTAGATTTGTAGTCAAATTAGATTTAGTTAGGTTTGCCAAACGACGGGTTGTAATTTATAAGAGGCTTACAGGAATGCGAGGTTAAAATTTGCAAATTTTACAGTTATCATGGAAATCCAATAATAAATGGTCTGTACTCGTACTGTTATTGTTCCCTTTTATCAATTTTAATTCAATAGTCTAAACCGTGATCCCCATTTTGAATACACTATACACTTATTTTCCGTTGGTTAATTCCAAATTCAACTTTATTTTGTACGTTACACGTATTTTTTACGTCACACCATGATACAGGAGACTAGAGTGGTGGGTTGTACAGAAGTGGGAAAGATGCCCGCCATTTTCCCCCGCCTTAGACACCAATTAACCCCCTCTTCTCTTTTATGGAGGGAAATAAAACCGTGTCTCATAATGCCACAAGGCCGCATCAAAGGTCGCCCGCTTGATAAATTAGATTAAACATATATTTTAGTGCATTCACGCCCAATTAACTAATGTTTAAATTGGTAAGAGCCTACGACCACCGAAATTCTATTTAGACGTGAAAAAACAGTGAGATTTATTATTATCTATTCAAAATCACGCCGATTAAATTCGTTAATTTTTTCCTACACGGTGAGCTATATTAAAACCCTATACCACTCTGATCATGACATAAGTGTATTTTTTAATTTGTTAACTTTAGCATTACATTAGAGCTAAATATAATTTATTAATTTAATAAACCAATAGAATTTTAAACCCGCTTATGCTTTATACAATTTTATTTTTAATCCCGCCAATATTTAATAAGTCTTGTGGAAGTGGTAATGCTACAACCCTTTACGGCTAGTCTGAAAATTTGTAAAACATTTTCCGGGATAGAGCTTTATGTAAAAATGGTTTGCCCCTGCATATTTATTGGATCTTTATACAGTATTGTCCGTATAAGGGGTGTTTATAGTTTGGTTGCTGTTTAAACAGCTCAATTTTTTTTTCTATTTCGTCTAATGTATGTAGGAAAAATAATCTAGGAACGCTATACAATGTTATTTGTTTGCATGTCATTTTCGATTCCTCTGATCAACATTACCCAATGGTAGGCCTACCCTATGATAAGAAACACATTAACACCTTCTCTTTAATTGCACGACCTATACTTAGACCGTAAATTTGGAACTAACATTATTTTTTTACATTCTCAAACAAAACCATGTAAATTAGATCTCTTACCTTCCATTCTTTGTGACGATCATCTCGTTGGTGAGAGACTGGAACTTGACCCAGAGATCTCGATCGTCGAGAGACAGTTGCAATCTCTCTAGGACATCCCCAGGGTCGGCGGTGTGCTCGTGCTGGGCCATGGTCCGTGGTCACCCTGCAAGCGAGGAACTGTAGTGGGTGGGGGTAGAAAACTGGGGGAATAAGTGTAGAATTCGGAGGTAGAAGACGTAGCTTGAAGTAGAGGTAGTATGATAACGACTGTGATGATAGACATGAGTATGTAGAAGACTATATGGTCGGAAAGTAGGGCAAAAACTATCCTAGAGGCTTAGTTTGCCATTAAACTGAAGACTTCAACTTTAGAGTGTTAAAAACTGCAGGAAATTGTGTAATGATGATGGAAGTTGATGGCGGAAGAAGAATATATGAGCGTAAATCGAAGGCAACTAGAATTGTAAGGGTAGGACCTCAGCTTGGTATAAAATCGTAGAAAGAAATGAAGGGTCTAGAATTTGAGAAAACATTGGACTTTCGTATGGTATAAATCTGCAAAAGTGTAAAGAATTCAGGAGTTGAACTTAGTAGAAGACGATTGACGAGGTATAAATTAGAGGAAACAAGAATTTTGAAGGCCAACAACAACGACAAAATATTATCTTAAAAACTATGATTTTAATAGACAAGCATGAAATATATAATGAAGAAGAACTTATAATAGATAGACTAAATTTTGATGGTGATACTAGAAGTAGAGGAAGCAAGCAATATAGTGGTTATTAGTATCAATCTGATATTAAACGGTATAACATGAAGTAGATAGAACAAGAACTGCAGAGGCTATAAATACAGTATAATAAATATAGTACATGGCTTAATATGAAGTAGATGCAACGAGAGATTTAAGGGCAGGAAAATACTGAGGGGGTTTGAAGGGAAATATTTTAATATTAACAAACATATTTGGTAATCTTTCAATGCGCAAATGAGTAATCGGTCGATATCAATGGTTCTGAAATGTTATTAGATTTTTGTGTTTATAAACAAATTTTAACAAGGTGTCAAAAGTTGGGATATTAGTAAATTTAGCCCTGTTGGCGGTTTTATAGAATGTTAGTAATCAAAAATGTCTTGCTTTGTAATTGCATAGTTATCGAGAGTTAAATTTAATTTTACACATATAAAAAACTATTCTGTATGGCTATAAAGAATTTTTAATAAATATCTTTAGCATAGACATTGAGCCAAAGATTATTAAAACTGTTACGTCATCTTAACCTCTGCTGTATCGTGTATTACTTATCTTATCTTTATCATGATTCATAAGGTATACAAGTAATAAACCTGTAAAATCTGTTGATGAGTAAGTAGAGTTCTGGTGAACTATGTTTTCAGGTAAATAAGGCATAGAATTAATAAATTTACCAAACTTCCTGAGTCCTGACAAGTATGCGGTTGTTTTTTCCGAAAGTAAAATTCTACAACGTATTTCGTAAACTTATTACTAAAACAAGGTATTGAAAATGTATTTATTCGTGTTTTCCACGTAATTTGCAGTAATAGAGTAACACAAATATGTTTATTAGGTATTTTTATTAAAGTCTCCGAGCTGTGTGAACACAATATTGTTAGGGTTTTGAGATTTTTCAAAAAGCCATTCCACCATTGCATAATGCGACGATGTCACACCTGTGGTTAGGATGTTTTACGGCAATAAACAATTTTATTTGTTTTTTCTTTCAACAAACATTTCCTACTATCAAAAGTTGGGTTCTTATTACAAATCAAAATCAGCATATTTTTATTGCCATAATAATACAAATATGTACAGGGCAAAAGTCACTAAAACCACACAAGTAAAATCAGACCCATAATAAAGATACAAACTTCAGAAGTTACATAATATTTACATTTTAAAAACGAAGAAACACTGTAATATTCCTTATCAACTAATTATTACCTCTAACCATGCTCAATTTTTTAATCATTTTCGTCCTTTATTGCATTAGGAAGAGAATTTAAAAGACGGATACACGTGGAGAAAGACTGGTTTTTATGAAAAGTAGTACGAGATAGAGGTAATACTAACCACGATACTCGAAAGCCCAATGTCAATTGAATTTGTAAACTACTGTCAAATAATTTAACGTTTCCACTTCCCCATGTCGATGGTTGAACATAGAACGCCACTTCATCCAAATCTAGAGATTAAGTGTTGGAAAAAGTAAACCAATTCCAAAACATTTAAAACAGCAATTTTTAACGGCAGAATTTCGGTCAAAATATTTTAGCAACGACTTCCTCCTCGAAGGTAAACAAACTTTCTGGGGAAGCCCCGGGTTGACCTTGAGAGGCTGAGGGTAGTTTTGGATTATTGGGACGGCCGGGGGTGAGGGGGGGGGGGTGTGCGGCACGCTTTGAACTAGGGGTTGTAAAGTTGTATTGTTGTAGAGGATGCCGCCGCGCGCCGTCTGGGGTTGTATAAGTCACCTGCGAGCTGACGTCTTGGTTTCGAAAATAAATTTAGGATGGGCACATATTTGGGTTCTGACTTTGGAAACTGAAGTAGTGAGCCTAATGTAACTCAAATACCACCGCAGCATTTAATTCTTAGTCAAACTGACGATGGTTGATCGTCAAAAATGTTCTCTTGTTAAAAAAAATGTCAGTTAGCTCACTAGTTGGAAAAAATAACTATTTTACATAGTTGGACGTCAAGTATGAAATTTTGAAAATCCTCATAAAAAATGTTGTAGAGCATATAAAACCAAATTATTTATTTAGTAGACAGTAATAGTAACAAGGAAAATTGAAAAAACTGCAAATTTCAAATACCCATGTTAATATTATGAAGGATAAGTTATGGTTGTAGATTTCTTTATCAATAACGTATTTATATTTTGATCAAATTTTGGCATAAGTATTTCTTTAATAATAAGCTGCTATTGCCGTTTCACTAAAGAAGATTTAACTTTATTACTTTACCTGTACAATAGCAACAACACTTCTTATAAGTATTTGTTAAGCCTGGTGTTATTTAAACAGGGAATACACATTGTATGTGTCAGAAAATATTTAAGTTAAAATGATATTAGGCTAATGGAAATTTTCTTAATCTGCAGGTTTGCTGAAGTGGGACCTTAAAACCTTAAACTTAACCTTAAACCCTAAAACCTTAAAATCCTTCTAGTAATTTTGTATCACTATCTGGAAAAATATTTTCCTCGCCGTCATTGTCATCATACAGCGTAAGAAGTCGATGAATAATAATGACAAGGGTTTGAAACCGTGAAAACAATCAATAAAATATTTTATTCGTATAGTATGTATCCTGCAAACACGTTAAGAACGAAGAAATCGTATAAATTTATAACTGAACATTACATAACTATGTTAAAATGTTAATATTTCATCTTCTATTGTGATGTTAATTTGTTTTAATAATCTTTCGGTAAATTATAAACTGACACTAAAAATTATGCTAACCCACCATAAATGAATGATTTTGTTATAGTGTATTGGTATAAATAAACATTTAATTAAAATGTAAAAGTAGAAATATATACATTATCTACATTTTTTTTAACGGAGTATCGGTACCTAAACAATTTAAATAATAAGGCCTTTACCTTAAAGTCTGTAAAACTGTTAATATTAAAAACTAGCTTAAATTAAATAAGAACTAAGTTCGTTCAAATTCTTTATGGGTTGAGACGATCATAGAATGTGCAAATAGTTTGTGTAAAATAGATTTACCTGTGTGGAAAACTGTGTATTAACAAATTTACTTTTTAAATGCATTATTTTATTCTTAATTTAAAGTCGCCCAAAAAAATATATATTTCTGGTGATATTTTCAAATAAATAAAAATAGTATATTTATTTACAAACACCTTCTAAAACTAGCCACGAAGCACTTAGCTGTTTCTAAAGTTGATATTTAAAATGTGTATATACAGTGGCGATGGTTGAAAGTAAAAATAAATACCCTATGATGTAATTTTTTTAATGTAAAGATGTAATTTTTAATCCTTCGCGATAATTCTATAGCTACAGTTCTGTGTAATCACTTTACTAGCTTAATTTGCTTGAAATTGGCCTTTTAGGTGTATAAAAAAGGTCAATAAGTACAGTTTAAAATGTTTAAAACGGGAAAAGTGTAAAGCAGCTAAACTCGCCAGTAAAACTACAAATATAAAAAATAGAGGTGTACTATCGTTATACACATGTCAATTAATTCTAGTCTTTGTTCAAACAATAATAGAAATATGTAAAATAATTTACTTAATTAGTTTCATATATTGCTGAAATAATGGGATGAATTGACAAGGATATTTTTTTATAATTCAACCACCCTTCTGTTCACAAAGTATAAAGAAACTATAAATTGTGTCATTAACTTAACATAAACTATAGAACAACTATTATTTGAATTTATATATTCAATCCTTCAGATCAATATGTAGCCAGTTTTATTTTTATAGTGAAAAAAAAACTTAGTTGAAACCAGCCATTGATTAGCCAAAAATAATTTAATTTTCACACACAACAATTTTAACATTTACTAAAATTCTAATTTACTGGAAAATAAAAGATTTTTAATGTCTCTAAACATTATAGTATGAACAAAAAACAAGAGCAAATCGAACTTAAATGTCGACAAACTCAACAAAGAACTGCCGCAACTGAGTTTGAGTAGAAATATTGATACAGCAGACTCACATCAAATAATTAAATGTTTAATACTGCATACAAAACCAACGATATTAGCCAAATATTAGTTCACGCCTAGTTGAAGATTAAATGTATTGTAAACCATAGCATCGGCTATATCCGCATAAATCGTCATTGTAAGAAACACCACAACATTAACTAAAACTTCAATAACAAAACTTTATTGAGATTTACCATCACTGTAAACAAAAAAAAACTAGAACTAACTTTATAGTACTTTATTTTTACCCATCTTTACTGAAAATTATCTTGTTAACATTTCATTGATATTCCTTATTTGAGTTATTCGTCTATATCCATCCACTTCATAAGCCTAACTTATTCTCCTTGTAATATGTCAAGAATTTAATGACCAAATAAATCTATCTTGAGTATCATTCAACTATATTCAAAGTAAAGCAAGCCACTA